TTTGTAACTTCCAATCATCATCAATGAAATGTGCAGTTAGACACATATAACACAAATTTTGTATGGAAGTCCATGTGTCCGTGGTAAAACAAATTCTACGCCCCTTTACAATTTTCTCCAACCTCTCCCTTTCATTAGTGTATATGTCTAGAATGTCCCTAGCAACGGTATATCGAGATGGAATCTTGAACTTAGGTTGCATGACATTACAAAACCTCTTAAAACCAATCCCGTCCACAAATCTAAAGGGCAATTCATCAATTACTATCATCTCCGCAAGATACCTTTTAGCAACTTCTACAGAAAATGGCGTAGCCACAACATCAACAACACCCTCCCCACTAACTTCTCTAGGTTTAAATCCCAATGATTATTGCCCGCGAGTATCCCTATATGGATACTTTGTACAATTTTTCAAATGACTTAACAAATTACTTGTTCCATAACTCTTAGAGCTTGCCATATATTCTTTCTTACAACACTTGCACATAGCTCTATCTTTCCCATCAATGCCCTTAATCTTTTCAAAATGATTCCAAGTCTTTGATGTTGTTCTCCCACTACTACTACTAGTTTTGGCTAGGGGTGGTCTAGGAGGAGGAGCATTAGGTTGGGTGGAGGGGTCAATAGAAGATGATTCGAGCTCAACATTAGGACTCATAAAAAATGTTTCATCACTTGAAGGATCCATGACCACAAGATTATCAAATAAACTGCCAAAACCAATAAAAATTCATTCAAAATATGCTTTTCAAATCCATGGTCTAACAACAGTTTAACAAAAAAAAAAAAGCTTGAAAGAAAATAAACTATGTATTTATTAACCAATGTGTCTCAATAAAACTCAAACAGAATTATATGTCTCAATAAAACTCATCACAAGACTCCTAACAAAAACAATAATAGTTGCTAGCCATAATAACCAAACCTGATAACCAAACCAACCATAATAATCAAAGTTTGGAAAATTCAATTAACCAATTAACCAATTATCAGTGATGTTCATTTTCAATTAACCAATTATAAAATTCAATTATTTTATATTAGTTTCAAATTACCAATTATAAAATTCAATTATTTTATATCAGTGATGTTCATGTTCATTTTTCAATTAACCAATTACAAAATTCAATTAACCAACTATAAGTTTCTAAACCCACGAAGGCAACCTTAATTAACCATGGAGTGTAGGTCATAAATTTAACACAGTCAAATACTCAGAAATTTAACACAGTCAAGTATTTTATATCAGTGATGCTCATGTTCATTTTCAATTAACCAATTATAAAATTCAATTAACCAATTATTAGTTTCTAAACCCAGGAAGCCAACCTTAACCATGGACTAACATAGTCAAATACTCAGAAAAAAAAAAAAGTCAATATATACATCAAACCCTCAATCAAAGAGGGAAAAAAAAAACAAAGAAAGGTATCTATAAGTTATATACAAAGAGAGGTATCTGTATACGAAGATATACAAAGATATACGAAGATTTTCATACGATTACTCAATATATATTATATACAGAGAGATGTATCTTTAAATCTTCTATCTAGAGAGAGAGAGAGATACCTCAGTGTAGTAAATTGATCGCCGTTTAGTGCAAGCAAATCGATCGCCGTTCAGAAGTGTAAATTGTCGGTCGTTCAGTGTAGATTGTTGGCCAGAGGTTACCGTCGGATGATAGGTAGGGTAAGGTAGGGTAGAGAGAGAGAGAGAGAGTCTCAGTGTGTTGGGTCTGTGAAGAAATTATGGCCAACTCTAAAGAAAAAGGGCCGCCTGAGGTGTGTAATAAAATTGCGGGAAAAAAGAAGGAAAAAAAGTCACGGGTGGATCGGGTCTGCGGGGTAAAATGGCGAATCACCCACCACCCAATCCGAGCCTGAGAAACTTAAAATATTGGGCCCGCACCCGTCCGCCACACACCATGCATCCATTCATTTAGGGTCAGGTCGAGTTGGATCGAACGGTTCTGGCGGATCCGCTGCACAGCCCTAATTTGTATGAGTCCCACCCCATGTGAAAGGTTTGTTAAAATATTCGGTAGAATGTTTGGGATATATAGCATTTCTCATAAAAAAGTGAAAGAAAATATTATCAACTCAAATAGATTAGAAGCTATAGCCTATACACCAATCTATAAGGACTTACAACAACACATCTATAGTATTCAAAGCATAATTTAACACATTAAAAAGCTCTGAAACAGCACAAAAACAATGTTGAAAATTAAGTTTTTGAGGTGGAAAAAGTGAGTAAAAATTGGATAAAGCCAAGGGGTTTTAACCAACCAATAAGCCTAAGGAATGGTGGCTAACCCCTCCTCTTTTTGTGACTTAAAGTCACATATTTCAGGCCTCAAAACACTCTGAAAACAGTATGAAAAAGCAAAGAAAAGAAAGAGAAAAGATGGAACAAAAGCTCAAGGATTACCTATTTAAAGAGATGAAGAGCTTCTAGTTTACAAACCACTAGTTGAACACTCTCAAAAGGCTGAAATTATCTTCACAAATCTCAGCAAAAGGTCTCAAGTTCCAGCTTGTAAGGTGTATGCATGGTGTATGTAAATTGCAAGAGAAGAGGGAAGTGCGTTGGACAAGTTATAGCTTTTGGCCAAAATTTTCTAACCCCAAACCATGAAGGGGGGCTTGTATTTATAAAAAAAACACCATCTCACGTCGGAAATATCTGTAAAGAGACAACTGGTACAAGACATGCACATGAGGATAGCTGGTTGTTGCAACATAGCTGACCAGCTATGAAGGGGAACGGTCGATCACCTGAAAATGGCATGCCGGCCACTTGTTGGCCAACCCTTCTCTGAGTGGTTAGGCTAGAAAAAATAAGATTTTGGTTCAAAAGGGGTGCAAGGTTTAGGTTTTAAAGCCCGAAATCGAAACCTTTTGTTAAAGAAATTGAACGATTACATAGCGTAACATTTCATCATCGAGTGTTCAGCGTGAGGCGTTCAAGTCTTAAGGGCGGCCAAAATAGAGTGTCTACACTTGCTCACATGTATGGAAGGTTAGTGTCTTTCCACCCGGTGGTGATAATTGCATTGATTGATAGTTTGTGAAGCATACACATGCCCCAAGAATTATGCGCGGGGGGAGGAAGGGAATGAAAAACATATATTTGATTAAACTATTGAAAAAAAAATGTTTGGAAAATATATATTTTTTAAAAAAACAACAACATACATACATACATACCTTGTCAAAATTAGACTAGGATTGTTTTCCTAGTCAAATTGTCATTAGATGTGGCATTCATCTCGTGTCTTACGCATGACAGGTTGACACTGTCCAATGGTAATGCAGATGCTCTATCTCAACTAACCAGTGTTAAGATCCTTTAGAGTGTAAATCCTACAGTGATCTCTTAGAATGATTCATCCAAGGGCTGATATTAAGCCTCACCAAAACAACGTCGTTTTGGTGAGCAATTTTTTTTAAAAAAAAAATAAAAAAGAAAAAAAAATCAAATTTCAAAACATCGAATTGTTCCTGTGAAGCATTACAGAGAGAAAGAAGGGCTAAGAGAATGAGAGAAGAGGAGGACGATCTCAAGGCTAAGAGAATGAGAGAGTCGTCACCATCACCGCCAGCCGCTCCTCCTCTTGGACCATCGCTGCCAACCACTCCTCCTCTCTCTCTCTCTCTCTCTCTCCGCACTTGAAAGTCCAAAGGGTTTCAATGCTTGAAATTTTGTCTCGGGGTTTCTTCACTGATTTTGCTCATTTTTCTCCCTCCAAAATTCACCTTCAATCATAACCTTTCCTTGCATATCTCTATTTTCAAAAACATTTCTATTAAATTTGTAAATATTCTGGGAAAAAAAATGTTGATTGGAAGTGCTAACAGATATACAAAACAAAACAGAGACGCCCTGCCGCCGCCGCCGTCCTGCTGCCTTGCTGCAGCCGATTGAAGAAAATAACAACTTTGTACTCTTCCAAAATTTCTCAGAACAGGTTATCTTACCTCTTTATTTGGTGAGGTAATTAATTGAAAATAAAAAGGGAAATAAAAATTTTCTACCAATAATAAAGAATTTATGCTTCAAGAGACTCTTCACTTCATTCAAGCTATTTGGGTTTCTTTTGGTAATCAATCTCTCTCTCTCTCTGACCTTGACAAAGTCTCTCTCTCTCAGTCCTTTTATTGGGAAATTTCTGTTTGTCCTCTTCTCTCCTTCTCTCTCTCTCTCTCTCTCTGTGTAATTGGGTTTCTTTTGGTAATCAATCTCTCTCTCTCTCTGACCTTGACAAAGTCTCTCTCTCTCAGTCCTTTTATTGGGAAATTTCTGTTTGTCCTCTTCTCTCCTCTCTCTCTCTCTCTCTCTCTCTCCTCTCGCTCTCTCTCTCTGTGTAATGCTTCACAGGTTTTGAAATCTGATTTTTTTTTTTTTTTTGAAATTGCTCACCAGCCCTTGGATGAATCATTCTAGGAGATCACTGTAGGATTTACACTCTAGAGGATCTTAACGCAACTAACCAAGCTTGAATACATGACCACATCCACATGAATTGCCAGTGCATCAAAACCGTGCACATATTTAGAACTCGGGAAAAAAAGAAGTTACAAGTTAAATCTTTACAGGATGGCCATCAAATTGAATTCTAGCGTTAGCAACACTAAATTTATGTGAAAAAAGGGTTATAAGTTTGTCGGATTCTCATTATCCTACTTTAATTAACAGATCATTTTTAATATAATTTAAGACACAAAACAAAATGAAAGAAGACAAAACAATACTGAATACTCTCATTGGTCCGAGCCCAAAATTTTCAGGCACATGTTAGATTGGAACTAGGTTCCCCACCAATCCATTTTCAGAGTCAGAATGAATATCTTTATCACAAACTCCATGATTGCCACGTGGCAGAATATGAAACCAGTGGCAGCAGCAGCTCCAAGCAACCAATGAAAGAAGATCTTATCCTATCCCCTTATCTTACTCACATCAATGCCACCAAAAAACAATCTGTCCCACAATCCATTTCTTGCTCCTATACCATAGTGCTGGTGAGGGGTGGTTGTATACTGAGAAAGTGAGAGGGGAAAGAATGGCAGCCTCATTACAAGCAGCGGCAACAATGATGCAGCCGACCAAGGTCGGCGTTCAAGGGCGGAGCACTAACGTGCAGCTGCTGAGGTCTTCTCAGAGCGTTTGCAAGGTGTTCGGTGTTGAGCAGACCGGCAGTGCAAGACTGACTTGCTCAGTAACTGATGCCAAGGACTTGGCTCAAAAGTGTGCCGTTGCTGCCAAGGTTGCTGGCTTTGCTCTTGCCACTTCTGCCCTCCTCGTCTCGGTATGACATTGTCCCACCTCCCACCTTAATTCATGTTGTTTTGTTGAAAATTTAGCTTAATTGGCCAATGTGCTTCTAATCTAGTGTTTGTAAACTTTATTGTTTAAGTTATAGCTAAAATCTTCATAATATGGCTTATCAGAACACCAATTAAGTCATCATTGTTTTGCAAAGGTAAGAACAACGAATGTACATGTTAGCACGATAGAGAGCAATTCTGGTAAAAATAATAAGGATATTAGAGAATGACAATATCTCTCATGGGTCCCATGCCATGAACATTTATATTCGTGATATTTTTTTTGTGAATATGAATTTTCTATTTCTAACTTTCTTTGTTTACATGTATCAATGTATTCTCAATAATTGGATTGTGTGACAATCTCGATGCATGAAAATCTCGAGACATGATCTAATGATTAAAAATACATTGAAACATGAAGACAAAGAGATTTGGAGACAGAACATCCCGTGTCTTATTCTATGGTTTAAATACGTGTATTTGTAGAGCAATTCTTGGGATTTGAATTACTTAATAACAACCTACTGGCTGAGCAGAACCGTCATGCCACAATTTTATTTGATAACCAATCCAAACAGCTATGGAATCCACTTAATGCTCAATTATAGCATGAGACATTAGCTCTTTGAACTTCAAATTTACGAGTCTACATTGAGAAATTTGGCACTACTATGTTGATTAAGGTTAATTTGGTTATTAATGTAGTCTTATTCTTTCACTGTTCTTAATATTCCCTACATAGTTGTTTTCTCTTAATTTTCCTATTTGGGAATAAGACACTAACATCTGCATTTTTGGCACAATCTAGGGTGCAAGTGCTGAGGGAGCCCCAAAAAGGCTAACATTCGATGAAATTCAGAGCAAGACATACCTAGAAGTAAAAGGAACAGGGACGGCTAACCAGTGCCCAACCATCGATGGAGGTGTTGACAAATTCACCTTCAAGCCTGGCAAATACAACATGAAGAAATTCTGCTTGGAACCCACATCGTTCACTGTCAAGGCCGAGAGTGTGAGCAAGAACGCCCCGTCAGAGTTCCAAAACACCAAGCTCATGACCCGCTTAACCTACACCCTGGATGAGATCGAGGGACCCTTTGAAGTATCTCCTGATGGCACGGTCAAGTTCGAGGAGAAAGATGGAATTGACTACGCCGCTGTCACAGTTCAGCTCCCAGGTGGCGAGCGTGTGCCTTTCCTCTTCACCATCAAACAGCTGGTGGCGTCGGGCAAACCAGAGAGCTTTAGTGGGCAGTTTCTTGTACCATCATACCGTGGCTCGTCTTTCTTGGACCCAAAGGGAAGAGGTGGTTCGACTGGTTATGACAACGCGGTTGCACTGCCAGCTGGTGGGAGAGGAGATGAAGAGGAGCTTGTGAAGGAGAACATAAAGAACACTGCATCGTCAACTGGGAAAATCACATTAAGTGTTACCAATAGCAAGCCTGAAACCGGGGAGGTGATCGGAGTGTTTGAGAGCATTCAGCCATCTGACACTGATTTGGGGGCGAAAGTTCCAAAGGATGTGAAGATCCAAGGTGTCTGGTATGCTCAACTCGAGTCATAGTGATTTTAACATTGATGTATTACTAGTCTTGGCCCGGATTTTGTGAGAAGGGGAAGTCTTTGTGAACTTTATTGTAACCCCCTTTGGAGAAACATTTTGAGGTGGTCGTTGTGCTTGTATATTATCATGGCTGCTTACAATAATGTTTTGAATTTCAAGCCTGTTTTTGGATTCAATTTGACCCCTTAAGCTCTCATCCGGTTGAACAGACAAAGAGTCGAGTTCTAGGAAACAATGTCTCACTGAGACAAGCTTCCACATACTAACTGCGATTTGCCTGAAGTTCAAACAACTTGCGTACATACATGTTTACAAGTGTACTATTCACAAATACATTGTTTCCTTTCAAACAACAGAGCCATGAATTTCTCTACCAAAACTCTCAATTATGAGCAAGCAGGAAGAATGGAAGAAACAGACTACAGAGTAACTGAATTAGGTCTCACTCCATTTAGTTCCATCTCGTGAAACGCACAGAGAGCCTTCATGGGCAGTGCACATTTGATGTAACAAGAAGCAGTGGAAGTCCATGAAATTACATATTTTCTTGCAAAATCAAGTTTTGCGCTGGTCGCCGTCGGAGAGGTCGGCAAGGAAGGCACGACAAGGGTCCATGAGGAGGTTGTTGCCGACGTCCAGGATCTAGAATCCAACCACAAAGATGGTGATGGCACGGGGCTTGACGGCCCCGGAATCAAGGCGGTCACCAGAGAGGTGGCCGAGGTCGGCGACGAAGCCGATGAGGATGACGGAGAGCGTGACGAGAGCGGTGGCAGCTGCAATGAAGGGGTGGCGGCAGCCGAATTTGGAGGAGCAGCAGTCGCTGTAGAAGCCGGCGAGAGGTTGCACCACAAGGCCGGAGATGGGGCCGCAGAGCCATATGTAGGATGCCCATTTGTGTGGGATGCCTAGAAGCTGGACGTATGGTGTGAGGAGAGAGAATTGCAAAGTCCAACTGAACTGAACCCTGGCTCCTATTGAGGCCACCACCACCACCTTCCACAGATGCGCTTGATGCGGTGGTTGGGGTAGTTGTTGTTGTTGGAGTCGGAGTTGGAGAGGCGAAGGGTGTTTACCATTTTCCATATTTGTTACTCTTTGTATACAACAAAACACTCTCAGCTCAAGTCTCTAAAAGGAGCAAGGATCCTCTAGAGTGATTTTTTTTTAAAGTTTTCTAAAGTGCTACAGTGTATGGTTGAGATTTATTGGCAAGTCACATCAATTTTTCTGATGTGACTTGAGATTTATTGGCAAGTCACATCAATTTTTCTGATGTGACTTGTCAGTAAATCTCAACCACACAATATAGCACTCTAGGAAACTTTAGGAAAATTTCACTCTAGAGGATCCTTGGTGATAGGAGAGGTCCACCATAATTTTTTTTGTAGTCTAAGTTCTCTCATTCTCTCTCCTCTCTCTTCTCGTACCAAACGACCTCTTTCTCTCTCTACACTTCTCTTGTCTTTAACAGAAAACAACCATTCTGATTCCGCCAACGAGAGATTCAACCACTGCAACTTCAACAACGAGGTCGTCGACGACGATGATCCAGAGAGATCATGTCAGAATTGGAGTCTTCGTCCACAGCATTGTTCGAAGCTTTGTTTGCGTTAACTACAACGGAGGAATTCGAAGTTCCTAAATCATCACCTTCCTGAAGCTTTCTTGTTGCGATCTTCTTCTTCTTGAGCTCATCACAAGTTGTTTCTTCCGTAACCACATCAATGTTGAGATCCAACATCTCTCTCTCTCTAGGTTCAGAATTAGCTTCAAAATACTAATATTCAATCGCAGTGATTTTCACAGAGCATTGAAATTTCAATCACAATGACGATAATGAAGATATATATATATATATAGGGAGAGAGAGAGAGAGAGAGAGATTGAGATCTGAAAATTAGAATTAGAAGAATGAAAAGTGACACAGAGATTACAGAGATAGACACTGAAATCAAGAGAGAGAGAGGAGAAATCTGATAGACAATTGCTTTGTCTTGTCTCTGTATGTGTGTGTGTGTTTGTGTAAGGGAAATAGAAGTGAGGTGTGAGAATGAAGCTCAGAGGAGTTGCATTACATTACAACAGTAGAGAAAGAAAGAAAGAAAGAGATTTACAAAGAAATTTGTACTAAAATCTCTTTGATTTGATTAAAATAATCTTTTTTAGATCACTCCTTGATCTACTTGGATAACAATGTCTATGTATGATTCATGTATTAGATTTTATACTATATGATTTTGAGGAACTGATAAAGGGTTTCTTTGGGTGTAGGATTTGTTTGGTGCAGATATGTGGAAACATTAGAATTAATTTTCTCTGGTTTAAAATTGTGAACAAACACTGAGAAATTTGTGCTAAAATTTCTTTGGTTTGGTTAAAACAATTTTCTCTAGTTTAAAATCGTTGTGCTAAAATTTCTCTGGTTTGGTTAAAATAATTTTCTGTGTTTAAAATTTTTCGCTGGTTTAAAATTGTGAACAAACACAGAGAAATTTGTAAACAAAGTCAGAGAAATTCTTTGTGAACAGAGCTAGAAAAATTTCAATTCTCTGTGAACAAAGCTAGAAAAATTTCATTTTTCTTTGGATTTCTTTAGTTTGAACTCAGAGAAATTTCAATTTTCTCTAGTTTGAACCAAAAGAAATTATCTACACGTAATTTTTCTAGGTCGAAATTTCTTTAGAAAAATATTGAAAGACCTTAACCATTATGAAAATATTTCTCCAGCATTACTGAACAAACACAGAGAAATTTGTAAACAAAGTCAGAGAAATTCTTTGTGAACAGAGCTAGAAAAATTTCAATTCTCTGTGAACAAAGCTAGAAAAATTTCATTTTTCTTTGGATTTCTTTAGTTTGAACTCAGAGAAATTTCAATTTTCTCTAGTTTGAATCAAAAGAAATTATCTACACGTAATTTTTCTAGGTCGAAATTTCTTTAGAAAAATATTGAAAGACCTTAGCCATTATAAAAATATTTCTCCAGCATTACCATCTTGTAATATTTGGTTCATTTTTTAGAACATGCTTTTTGAATTTTTTTTTTTTTTAAAAATTAGTAACTAATTTGAGGTTCTTTCTTTTGATAGTGCTGAGGTTCTTTCTCTGGAAATAAATTCTCTAAGAATAAATTCCTAGAATTTCTCTAGAGATAAATTCTTTGAGAAGTCTATAATTTCTCAAGAGAGTGGGAAGTCAGAGAGAAATTCCTAAAAAGAATTTCTCTAGAAAGGCCAGGAATTTCTCTAGGAAGTTTCTCTGGATCGATATTAAGGAATTTTAGACATTATGAAAATATTGAATGTTTTTTATATTATAAAATCTTAATACCAAGGATTTTAAAAAAAAATCCCTAAATTATATTATATAAAACAAATTATATTAAAATAGAGAGAGAGAGAGAGAGACGAAGAGAGAGAGAGAAGCACAGAGACAGAGGAGATCGAGAGTGAGAGAAGAGAGAAAGATGAAGATGATCAAGATTGAGATCGACATTGAAAGAAAAGAGTGACGAAGAGGATCTCAGCTGTAATCTCAACCCTAATCATAGCTTCACAAGTATGCCAAAGTATCCACTTTCTCCATGTCATATCCCGGCCGGATTTTGCACCTGTACTCGTGTCATGTTGTGTCGATACAGGTACTTTGCCAAATTTGGCGAGTCCATGTAATGTAGGTACCCAGCAGAAGATCTGACCAGATTCCAAATCTGATTCAATCTTCACGAATCTCCTTCACATTGTTAATATCCACTGAATTATGCCAACTAGTCCGGCTGCATGTTCCTCTTCTGCAACGCGGCATAAATTTTTAAATTTTATTTATTTATTTCTGCTTCAGTTGGTAAACCATGTTTTTTGTGTGCATCTATTAACACGGTCCATGAGCGCAATTATAGTTCAGAAATTTTATCGAACAATTGGTGGGCGCGTTCTAAATCCCCAGAATTTTGCATATAACTCGATGGACCTGAAATTTAGATGAGTGGGTAGCTTTGACAGTATGTGATCTTCGGATCTTAGCAAGTATTTGGTTGTCAAAGAATGGAATAGTCAGGCCCGGTGGATGTTTCTTAACTCTTCTTTGGGTAGCCCAGAAATTGCAGAAGAGAAAAGAAAACAAAATGTTATATCTACCATGTTCGGTCTACTTTTTGCCTTCTAGCTTATAGATTCGTGAGGCTATGCTGAGTTTGGGCTTCTGGGTCTGAAAATATCAATGTCGATGTAAAATTCAAGATGTTAGCTTTCTTTTAATTTCCTTTCTTTTTCTCGGTAACCAAACGGAACGTTAGGGCTTGGGTCGAATAACTGTACTTCTAACGGTATTAACGATATTGAGTGACCCGTGTCTTTTTCTGTCTTTATTTTTTTATCTTATTAAATCATAATAGTACATAAATAGTTGTGCAATTAACATACAAGATTTTTTTTAACAACAATGCTAGGTAACTCAAAATTTTGTGGCTTAAATGACTCAAATCACTCAAAACGACGTCGTTTTGACAGATTTTAAGTGTAAAACGACGTCATTTTGACAAATTTGAGCCATTTGAGCTACAAAATTTTGAGCTACCAAAGATTTTCCTTTTTTTAAATGGTGAATTACACTAATAGTCTCTATAGTTTAGAATTTGTATCACTTTAATCCTTAATTTTTTAATTGTGACACATTTGATTATAAATTTTAAATCTTGTTTCAAATAAGAACAATTGAAGAAATCATTAGATTTTTTAAGAGTAAAATCGTCAATTTGATAAAATATAAACTAATTTGACAAAAATAAATGTCAAAAAAATATTTTTAAATTTTTAAAAATTATTTCTACCCACTAAAGATAAAATTATGTAAAATTGATAAATCTTTTAGACATTTTTTTTTATTTTTTACCAAATTAATTTTTTTTATGTGTTTGGATGATAATCATATAAAATTAATTTTTGAAAATTAATCATGTAGTTTTTATTAATTTTGATCAATTTTACATAATTTTATCTTAGTGGATAGAAATAATTTTTAAAAAATTAAAAATATTTTTCGACATTTATTTTTGTCAAATTAATTTATATTTTATTAAATTGACAATTTTGCCGTTGAAATTAAACAATGGTATCTTCAATTTCTTTATTTGGAATAAGATTTAAAATTCAGGATTAAATGTATCATAATTGAAAAGTTAGAGACTAAAACGACACAAGTCTCAAACTATAGAAATTGTTAGTATAATATGCTCTTTTTTAAATGATATACAGATGTAAAACAAATTATGAGTCATACATGTGGGGAGCACTTAGGGTGAAAATTTGACATGTCACCTGTTAACATGACTTGAACTATACACATAATTAGTGGATTAGAGTTGATTAATTTTTAACACAAACACAAATATAACATGACATGACGAGATGCCCACTAGGTGCATCATATGTTAGGTGGGACTCAACATTATGTGTATTTTATTCAGTAAAAATAAAAAATAACAATGTTACAAACTCAAAAAAAATTATTTAAAAAATTACCTAGAAAGTGAATCAATGGACTATATTCATTGTATGAATTTATTTTATTTTATTTTTTTTGTAAATACTTTAATTTGCTCTTAACGAAAGAACTTGTAAATTGGGTTGATGGAGGCTATTTGATGAATGAAACTTTCTAATATTTAAATAGGAAGTGGGAGTCGAATTATGAAAGGAGGACTGGCTATGAGTCATAGCGTTATTGCCACTCCACCATGACATATAAAGACTATAAAGTGAATAAACAATTGAGGGGTGAAAATAAAGAGTGTGATCACACACATATATAAAGTATTTCATTATATATATATATATATATATGTATTTTTTTAGGATAAATTATCAATAGTTTCTAATAGTTAGATTTAATTCTCATTAATATATATATATATATGTATGTATTTTTTTTAGGATAAACTACCAATAATTTCTAATAGTTTGATTTAATTTCCATTAATTCCTAATGAAAATAAGTCTTGATAAAATTGTCACAAAAAATAATTTTTTGTGACAATTTTTTATATATGTCGCTAAAAATTGACAATTAAGGACTTTTTTGTCATG